TGTGGCAGCGTGACCTGGAAGGGAAGGGGGGAAGAAGAAAGAGAAGAAGGGGTAAAGGAGACGTTGACGAGGAAGCTGGGGAGTATCCCACGTACCCCATTCCCCAATAACTCGCCCCCTCCCCCGGGACTCCTGCTTCGGGCTAAGCCTTGGCCCAGGGTTCATGCTCATAGAGCAGAGGAATTAATTCCAATTTACTGTAGGGCTACCTTCATAGCATTTTGCAAGTCTGAAGATACAAATCTCCCCCTGTCTCCTTTACAGACTGAGAAACTAGGGAGGGTCTCTTCTCCTTCTCTATCCCTTAGGCAGCTCAGGGCTATGCCGTCTCTTATCTGACTGTTCTCTAAAGGTACATTAAACACAACCTTGCAACGTACAAATCGCCCACCGTCTCTTTTACCAATTGAGATACGAGGGAGGGTTCCTTTCTCTATCCTTTATGCAGCTCAGGGCCTTGTCTCCTTTACAGACTGAGAAACTAGGGTGGGTCTCTTCTCCTTCTCTATCCCTTATGCAGCTCTGGGCTATGCCATCTCTTATCTAATTGTTCTCTAAAGCAACATTAACAGACACTTGCAAGTCCGAAGGTACAGATCGCCCACCGTCTCTCTTACCAATTGAGATACTAGGGAGGGTTCCTTTCCGAGTTTCTTTCTCTATCCCTTATGCAGCTCAGGGCTATGCCGTCTCTTATCTGACTGTTCTCCAAAGCTACATTAACACAACTTTGCAAGTCTGAAGGTACTTACTCTGCTTCTTGTAATAGTCTTCCCATGCCTTGCTGTAATCTGGTTGGCTATTCTGCTGCTGGTTTTGCTGACCTACCCAAAGGGAAGCCAAGAACGAAAGAAAGAGGTTACAGAGCGGCCGGAGAGAGAGCGGGACACAATCTCTGGGTCTGAACCCCTTGAGATATTAATGGATCGACTTTTCAGAAGGAGAGCTGGGATCCTGTGCCCAACTACCAGAGGAGGAGGACATGTAACCCAAAGGCAGAATGTGCTTCTGCCATGGCTAGCTATTCCCTGTTTTATCTGGCAGTTTCTAACACTCCAACATAGAGTAACATATCCGACATATGTCAGAGCACAGACAGTGCAGAGAAGAGCAACCAGGATGATTAGGGGACTGGAGGCTAAAACACATGAAGAACAGTTGCAGGAATTTGGAATATCTAGTTTAACGAAGAGAAGGACTAACTGACTGCTGTCTATATAAAAAATTATGGCAAAGCTACTTTGTTGTAAAAGCTACATTAACAGAATCTTGCTTGGGTGCAAAGGTGCCACCTCATCCCCTTGCAAGCAAAACGCTGCAGCAGAAAATTGTCCGGTTGTGAGGTATCTTGACTCGGGGGTCTCCAGACTACCCCAAATACTCCCCACCCCCACCCCCCAAAACCCCCATATTTCTAGGATGGGGGGACACTTACTTGGGACCTGCTGTCCTGGTTGTTGCCACGTCTGGAAAGTGCTTCCCCAGCCCTGGGTCATGAACGCCTGG